AGAGAGAGAGAGAGAGAGAGAGAGAGAGGGGTTTAAGCATGAGGAGGGCAATTTGAAATTAATTTATATTAGGAAGGATGGTATTTAAAGAACATGAGAGACTAGGGTTAGGGCATTCTTGATTTGGAGTTGTTCTCTTGGAGTCTTCTTAGTGTCTTGGGCTCTAGATCCAAAATCTAGAGATTGGGAGAGACGATCCTCCTCTCGAATTGAGGATCAATTGTATCTTGCTTGAAGTTTGTTTTGCTTTGTTTCTATATTTGCAATCTATCATTTTTAAATAGATTTCCTCCATATTTTCTTGTTTTTCTTGCTGTTTTGGCCAATTATTGCTAGCGTTGCTTGCGAACTCAAGTATTTCCTCTTGGATTACTTGCGAACTCAAGTATTTCTTATCACATACCATGGCAATGTGATGTAGACAAAGGGGGGTCAACTCATGTCCAAAATAAATCAATTTTGGCTTCCCTCAAGTTTACAAGCTCAATCAATTAAGCTGAAATTTTAGCTCATTTATGAGCTGGTCTTTAGTTCACTTATTGAACAAAGGGTTAGCTCATTATTAGCTATGATTTTAGCTCATAGTTATCTTATATTAAATGTTCTTTTTATGCTTTTTATGTTAGTAATCATGTTTGTCTCTTGGAATTCCAAACCAGCCTTTGGAATTCCAAGATTTACTTTTCCCATGAGGTGGCTCCTTGGCTTCCTCCATGGCCTTTAGTATTTTGTGCATTTGCCCCCTTGGATTCCGACCGGCTGCTGGTTTTCCCGTGACCGTGCCCCTTGGTCCCGGGCGGTCTCCTTAGTTCCCGTGGACCTCTTCGGTTCCTTGGCTTGGGATGTTTTTTTAGGTGTTTTAATTCTATGTGATGTTTAGAATTCCTATGGGAATTTATTAGGTGTCTCTTAGTATTCCTCTTTCATACCTATAAATATGGGAGGATTTGTAATGTTTAAAAAAAGGAATGATATATTATTTTTGAAAAAGCTATAACCTGCGGGTTTGCTTCGGAAATCCTGCGGGCTCTTTCCACCTTTCTTTCTCATCCCCTCCGGAAATCCTGCGAGTTCTTTCCAACCTTTCTTCTCGGGCTTCTAACCTCTTTCGTCTCTCCGCAAGTGTCACTCCACCTGTATCCTTCTTCTCTAAGTGAAGCAATTTTAGGGTGTCTTTTAATTGCGAGTCGAGTTTGTTAAATCGTCGTTTGTAGTCTTTTAATTTCTTCTTTTTACATTTTATTTGAAATGTAAGAGTTTGTTCTTCATTTTCTCGTCTTTAGTCATTTTCGTTCTCTTTATCAGTCTCTTTACTTGTGGGCGAAGGGTATAAGCACCCCTATATTTTTTTGCCCGCATCATTTGGTATCAGAGCAAGTTAGGAAGTCCTAAGTTTATGATTTGTCAAGTTGTAGTTTGTCAAATTTTATTTTACAAGTCAAGTCGTTTTGTTGTGAGTCTTGTTGAGTCTCTAAAAGAATTGTGAGTCTAAGTTTAGGTTGAGTCTTTTGAATCTTTCTTTGAGTCTTTTTTTTAGTCTTGTTTGAGCATCAAAAAAATGAAAAGAGATAAAAAGACAGAAGAAAGCAAACCTGAAGAAATTAAAGATCCTATGGATAGGTGGATTCCATCAAAGTCAGCAAATTCTCTGAAGTATGAACTATACAAACTTCAATCATGGATGCACATACATACAGAAAGGTACTTCAAGAAAAAGAAGCGTTTACAAGATAAATTTCTAAAAGAACGAGATGAGATCGTGCAGAAATATGAAGACCTGATTAATGAATTGGATGCTCCGTCTTCTCCTCTTCGGAAGACAACCAGAACTGACTCATCGGGAGCTGAGTCCTCAAGAAGGGGAAAATCTGATGTAGACAAAGGGAGGGTCAACTCATGTCCAAAATAAATCAATTTTGGCTTCCCTCGAGTTTACAAGCTCAATCAATTGAGCTGAAATTTTAGCTCATTTATGAGATGGTCTTTAGTTCACTTATTGAACAAAGGGTTAGCTCATTATTAGCTATGATTTTAGCTCATAGTTATCTTATATTAAATGTTCTTTTTATGCTTTTTATGTTAGTAATCATGTTTGTCTCTTGGAATTCCAAACCGGCCTTTGGAATTCCAAGATTTACTTTTCCCATGAGGTGGCTCCTTGGCTTCCACCATGGCCTTTAGTATTTTGTGCATTTGCCCCCTTGGATTCCGGCCGGCTGCTAGTTTTCCCGTGCCTGGGCTCTTTCTCGTAACCATGCCCCTTGGTTCCCGTGGATGCCTCTTCGGTTCCTTGGCTTGGGATGTTTTTTAGGTGTTTTAATGCTATGTGATGTTTAAAATTCCTATGGGAATTTAGTAGGTGTCTCTTGGTATTCCTCTTTCATACCTATAAATATGGGAGGATTTGTAATATTTAAAAAAAAGGAATGATATATTATTTTTGGAAAAGCTATAACCTGCGGGTTTGCTTCGGAAATCCTGCGGGCTCTTTCCACCCTTCTTTCTCATCCCCTCTGAAAATCCTGCGGGCTCTTTCCAACCTTTCTTCTCGGGCTTCTAACCTCTTTCGTCTCTCCGCAAGTGTCACTCCACCTGTATCCTTCTTTTCTAAGTGAAGCAATTTTAGGGTATCTTTTAATTGTGAGTCGAGTTTGTTAAATCGTCGTTTGTAGTCTTTTAATTTCTTCTTTTTACATTTTATTTGAAATGTAAGAGTTTGTTCTTCCTTTTCTCGTCTTTAATCATTTTCGTTCTCTTTATCAGTCTCTTTACTTGTGGGCGAAGGGTATAGGCACTCCTATATTTTTTTGCCCGCATCACAATGCAGCATTGTTCTGTAATGACAACAAGAACCTTGTAACAGGCAAAACAATCCTAGCTACGAAATTTTGCCTAAACAAGCATTTTATAGAAAATTTCAAGGGCATACAAACGCTAGTGCTATTATCCGTGCTAAAAGGGTAAGGTAGTTAACTGAACTAATTAAAGCCCCAGTGAGGTATTTGAATAGTAGATAGGAACAAAATTCAAACTAAAATAAAGGAAACAATACATAAATAAGGAAAAAGCCATCACAACTGCTTAAAAAAGAAAAGAAAACTATTACACAATACTAAGTTATTACAATGATTCTGTACATTGAAGAACAGTTGATCTTGTATCATCATAGGCTTAGAGGACTCCTGCTTGGTTCTCTATTTTCTTTCACATGTTAACTTATATTTTTAACTTGTTGTTTATTACTTAAGTTAGAAAGGCTTTTGAAGTCTTGTACCCGTGCCCATCTCAACATAAATGCGACCTAGATATTGCTTGATTCAATGCTGCTGTGTGGTCCTCTAAATAAAAAATTGTGTGCACAGATTAACTCCAAGCTTTGTGTTTTGTTCCAGTATTAGCGTTTCTTCTTCTTCTTCATCCCTTCATAAGGCTTTCAAATACCTCTTCTCCATCATACTTTCTCCTCTCTATCTAGGCTTTATCACCTCTCCATTCTTCAATTTTATTTTTCAGTCTTCCCTACTCAAATTGGTGAGATATCAAAAGATTAAAAAGCATGACCTCAAAAGCTCGAATGAAGTAGGGAGATGAAACTGAAAGTCTAGATAAAGGGAAGAGGAAGAAGAAGGAACATTGATACCTAGCACAAAAAACTAAACTTGATATCTCGCAGAAAGTCATGAACCAGATGACCAAAGCTTGAAGGTGGGATCAGATGCATAATTTGGATCTGAAGGATACACACAACACCCTTAAAACAAGCAATTTGATATGGATGGAGGGTATCCAAAATTTAGATGGGAGCAATCGTTAGTGTGATTCAACTATCATTTACTACTAGAGGCATAGTCCTCATATACATAAAAAGGAGGACATGGATAAAAAATAATCAAATTAATAACAACAAAATCCAAAAAAAAAAACAAAGGCATGAGTAGACAATTATATCAATGAAGGCTATCATGATTTAGACAATCTAGTTGGAGTTCTCTAAGCCTATCTATGCCAATATGGCAACAACATTTTTTTTTTTTTAAGGATAGAAAACTATCTCAAATTTTTTTTTATAAAACAATGTTTTTTCTGCTGCTAAGAATAGTATGAAATGTTACCCAAGATTTTCCTGCACGAAGAAAGTGAACCACCAACTATTTCATCTTACCACAAATATGAAAAGCTTAAACACAAAAATAACTGCCAGAAAATGAGCTTCATATGTGAACATAATGACCATACAACGTACCGAGAAAATAGAAGGAGCATCATATATCTGGAAAGACAGACCAGTCACTTCAAGTTGTCCATGAATATTAGGAAAAGTATCTCCTGTTGACATGCAAAGGTGAACCTGAGAGATTAAAAAGGTAAATCAATATTTCAGATAAAAATGATCTGATAATCCTCCCAAAAAAATGTTTTTTCAACAAGCATTAAAGTTTTATTTAAAAAGACAAATATAAAGTGTGCTGTGTTACATTGATTATTACATGATCTGAAGTACAAAAGTAGATTAATTTAAGCATTTCTTGCCTTTTTAAGTTTAAATTTATTATATAATCAAATCCTACATGATCATTTAAGATAACATTTCCCTCTAACAATATATCTATAATTAATTATCATGAACCAAGTACTTCAGAGAAAACAATAAATAAAAATATTTGCAGAACTTAGATTACTAATCTTTGTCACATTTTGAGTCGCAAAGCCAGATTTTGCAAGAAATCCAGGGTTAGCATACCACAATTTTAAGAGTCGCCTTTCAAACCTAAGAATTATATGTAAAAAGATTATTATACACAAGACCAAAGTAAGCACAATGGTTTTCTACTAGCTTTTGAAAATGATCTATCATACTTGACGTTTTGCTATTTATGCTGCAGTATTTCTCAACCATATCCCCATTTGAGCTAAAATTAACATGTCAATAATTGAGGAGCTTATGGTGAAAAGTTAAAAGTCTAGACAACCACCTCACCGGTAGCTCTTCCTTGATACCAAATGATCGGAATATCAAAAATCCTCTCAAATAGCTGCACAATGTCACGAAGCGCTCCATCAACTACAAAGAAAACCTTGGAAGAGCCAAAAGTTGCATAGAAAGCAATCAAATACAAGCTAATTCAATAAATTTATTTCATTACAGGAGCAAAGAGGCTTGAGATCTTCAAGTTGGCATGCCATTTCTGTTCAGTTGTATCGACATAAACAAGTGTTGTGAGCTGCCCTCCATTATAAGAAGTGTTGTCGGTTCTCCATCCTACACAGTCCCCACTCAGTTGCACATGAACACGACTGTATTGGTTTTGAAACTTTGCATACCCATTAGCATTCAACATTTCCCTACAAAAAGAACAAAGCAAACACCATACAAAATAGACGATTTCAACACTAAAAAGAAAGAATATGTTGTTTGACAATATCTAAGGCTACGTTTCAAAAAATTAACTTTAAGTAGTTGAATTTATATTCAAAATAAATAAATAAATAAAAACATCGCAAGAGAATCTTTCAAAGTTACTATTATACAAATTAAGCTTCACAGGTGAGCCAGTAGCAAACATTAAGATTTTTTAGAGAAGGATACAGGAACTGTGAAGGATTGGCATGTTGTCATAATATAATATTGTTCTAGTGTAATATCCTGATGCCGCTCCCATTGCTTGAGGTCGACGAAGATAAAAAACTTGAACAAACAAACATCAATGGCGTTCAATCGCTTGGTTTCACAAGAAGACAAAAAAATTTCTCCCCTATAAATTAGCGAGATATGAAGGAAACCCGAGAAGAAGATTGGTGCGAGGACGAGCGAGCATGGGAGAGGCAAAGTTGTGCGTCTTACAGCCTATGGCGACAAGAGTGAAAGAACGAACACGAGCTCGATAAGAGGGAAGGTACGCTCAAGCAAGGGGGCATGAGCAAGATTCACGTGTGGGGGAGAAGGTAAGAATTTTTATTTTTTATAAAATTTAAATATTATTAACACTGTCGTTGTCAGGTACCAAGTCCTGGATAAAAAAAAAGTAGAGGGTTGCGTTAGATAGTCGACAACCAACGTAAAACTTGTCAAATAATCATGACATAAATCTTTTAATACATTGTACTAATGATAGGGCATTCCATAGAAGTGACCCGTTGTACGGCCTGAATACAGCGACAAGTGTGCAAGAGCCGCTGCATCGGTGCCCGGGTGCTAAGTTAAATAGGTAAGGGTTCCCACATCATGGACAAATTAGGGCAAAGAAACTAGTCCAACAACAACAACAACAACAACAATAAGCCTTTATCCCACTATGTAGGGTCTGCTGCATAAATCCTTTTTCTCAACTGTGTCCAATTAAGAGTCAAATTCTCATTTAAACTAATAAAGAAAGGTCGTTTCTAATATTTTCTAACCAAATCTTTTAGGTTTGCCTCTACCTTTCTTAACATAAGTCAAATCTAATACATCTACTTTCTGATAGGAAATACTTGAGTCCGCAAGTAACCCTAAGGTAATACTTGAGTTCGCAAGCAAACCTAAGCAAAACGGAAGAGCAAACAGCACAAATTCTGCTGTTTACAGCAGAAAACAGCACAAAAACAGATGAAAATCTGGGAGAAAACCAAACAAACACTTGTATTCCACTAGTAGAAGAATGAAAACAGCAAAGATACAATTGTTCTTCATCCGAGAGGAAGAACAACTCTCCAATCTCCGGCAATGCCAAGAGCTCAAACCAAAGAAAACCCTCCCCCCCCCCCCCCCCCCCCACGAATCACAAAAAATATGAAATAAAAATTAAAGCAAAAATGATTAATTAAAAATCTCTAAACAGCCCCTTGATTCAAAATTTCCCTCCTAAAGCTCATTACAATAAATGCTTGGACTCACAAGGGCTGCCGCCCCCTCTTCCTGCTCTGGTTTCCACACCCCCCCTGGCCCGCCTAGAATAGAAGAGGACCGATCCATGCTGGACCGGTCCAGCCGGCCCCTCCTGGGCCGACGGCATAACAATACTCCCCTCCCAAAGACTCACCTTGTCCTCAAGGTGAAAGGAAGGGAATTGCTCTTTCATTCTTTCCATTGGCTCCCAAGTAGCCTCGAAATCGGAAAGGCCCCTCCATTTAATCAGCACTTCTTTGTTGCCTTCTTTATCAGATCTCTCCTATAAACTCCTGTGGCTCTAGTATCACTTCCAATTCCTCAGTCAGTGTCACTGGTAAATCCGTACTAGCTGCATGCTCGCCAATAGCTTTCCTCGACTGTGATACATGAAAAACTGGATGAATGGTAGCTAATGGGGGCAACTTCAGTCGGTACGCCACTGCTCCGATCTTATCCAACACTTCATAGGGGTCGAAGCACCTTGGTACCAATTTCTCATTCCTCCTCTTCGCCACTATCCTCTGCCTGTATGGTCGTAGTTTTAGGAATAACTTCTCCCCCACTTCAAACTGCATGTCCCTCCTATGTGATTCCGCATGCCTCTTCATGATCTAATGTGCTCTCAGCAAATGTTTCTTTAGCTCTTTCAGCACCTTATCCCTTTCCTCCAGGTACTGCTCTACTAAAGAAACCAATGTACTTCCTCTTCTCATAATGCACTAGGTGTGGGGTGGCCCCCCAATCTACCATCAATAGAACTGACACAGCTAATTCCTGAAGCTCCCTAACACATCTCGATAAAGCGTCGGCTGCTTTATTTTCCAAATCAGGCTTGTATTGGATCTCAAAATCATAGCCTAGTAATTTGGATAACCACCTCTGATGCTCCTCGGTCACCATCCTTTGCTCTAACAGATATTTCAAACTTCTATGATCAGTCCTTACAATGAAATGCCTTCCCAAAAGATAAGGCCGCCACTTCTGAATAGCCAAGACAATGGCCATTAGCTCCCTCTCATATACTGACTTCAATCTAGCTTTGGCTGACAGCATTTGACTGAAGTATGTTATTGGCCTGTGGTTCTGCATCAATACTGCCCCCAGCCCATATCCTGACGCATCAGTCTCTACTATAAAGATCTGGTTAAAATCCGGAAGCGCTAACACTGGAACTGTAGTCATGTCTTCCTTCGGCTTCTGGAAAGCCTGGGTTGATGCCTCTCTCCATAAAAAATTATCCTTCTTTAGTTGCTTAATCAAAGGCCACGCAATAGCACTGTATCCCTTCACAAATCGTCTGTAGTACCCCGTCAACCCCAGGAACCTCCTCAACTCCCTTATGTTCCTAGGCATCGGCCACTTCTGCATTACCTCAATTTTAGTGAGATCTATCACTACTCCCTCTTGGGACACCACGTGTCCCAAGTACTCCACACTAGCCTGGGCAAAGCTACATTTCTTCAAGTTTACTTTCAACTTGTGCTCCTGTAGTACTCCCAAAACCACCCTCAAGTGATCCAAATGCTCCTCCAATATCTTGTTGTATACTAGAATGTCATAAAAAAATACTAGGACAAACTTCCTAAGGTACGGCTTGAACACTCTGTTCATCAAAGACTGAAAAGTAGTAATAGCATTAGTTAAGCCAAAGGGTATTACCAAAAACTCATAATGCCCTTCATGTGTTCTAAACGATGTCTTTGGCACATCTGCCTCCTTCATACGAATCTGGCGGTACCCCGATTTTAATTCCAGCTTAGAAAAAATCACTGCCCCATAAAGCTCATCCAAGAGCTCATCAATAACTGGAATTGAAAACTTATCTGGCACTGTCCCCTTGTTCAAAGCTCTATAGTCCACACAGAAACGCCAGTTCTCATCCTTCTTTTTTACCAGGAGGACTGGACTGGAGAAAGGACTCACACTTGGCCTGATGATTCCCGATTCCAACATCTTTCGGATCAACTTTTCAATCTCATCCTTCTGAATCTGGGGTAGCGATAAGGACAAAAGCTGATAGGTGTCTCCCCCTCCTTCAAGGTGATGGCATGTTCCGACTCTCTGTGTGGTGGCAAGCCCTGGGGAGGTTGAAACGCCTCACTGAATTGTTGTATGAGTGGCTGCACTGAAGAGGGAATGTTCCCCTCCTCCTCCAGTCTGACTCCCTCCAGGCGATGCATCTCCACCAAGTATCATCCTCCCACTTCTTCTATGGTTCTCATCATAGACTTGAGTGATACTCCATTCTTAGCTAGCCTTGTATCTCCTTGAATTACCCTCTTCTTCCCCTCAATCATCAGCTCCATCTTCAATGTTCCCCAATTTACCTTAGTATCTCCTAAGGACTGCAACCATTTCATCCCCAATATAACGTCTGTGCTTCCCAACTCCAAGGGAAGGAAGTCATCCCTCACCTGGATCCCCTGAATCATCAGCAATACTCCCTTACATACACCTCTGTCCATTTCCACTTTCCCCGTCCCCATCATCATCACATATCCTCTAGTGTCCACTAATTCCATTCCAAGTAGATCAATTATCTGGGTGAAAATGAAATTGTGGGTTGCTCCACTATCTATTAGCACCACTACCTCCTTGTCAGCTATCGTTCCCTTCACTTTCATAGTGTGATTTGGAGTAAATCCCACTACTGAATTCAGGGAGACTTCTATCATATCCAGATGCATCTTCTCTTCTTCCTCCGTCTCTATCCCGCTTCCACCTCCCTCTTCAGTTTCCTCGTCATCACAGACGGTGAGAAACTGAAGAGTTCGATCATTGCACCTATGCTCTGGCATGTATTTCTCATCACACCTGAAACACAACCCCTTGCTCCTCTTCTCCTATACCTCCTTCTCAGTTAGCCTTTTGAAATTTTCACCGTTTCCTCCTCCTCCAATCTTCTCCTTGGGTACTTCCTTCAGGCTTCCAGGGCCTGCCCCTTTTGCTGGTAAGACAGTGGTCGTCATCCTGTACATTCCCCCTAAATAGTTTCCCCGAGTCCCTCTTTCAGACTTCTTTTGATCTTCCACCAACTGGGCCAGCTCCATGGCCTTGCCTAGATTCCTTGGCTCCAACACTCTAACAGCTGTTCTTATCTCCAGTTTCAACCCCTTCATGAAATTTTCTTCCAGGGCCGACTCCGAAATTTGATCCAGTCTGCTAGTCAAGTACTCAAACTTGTCCCGGTAGTTTTCCACGATCCCCTCCTAAGTCAAGGCAAAGAATTGCTCATAGAAGTCTCCTCCCCCATCGGCTCGGAAACGCTCCAATAAGCAATCATTGAACTCTCTCCAGCATCGGATGGGCTCCCTCCTATCACGCCACTGATACCAGGCCAAAGCTTTTCCTTCTAAACACAATCCTGCCGCCGTCAGCTTTTCTTCCTTTGTCAACCCGTTGACAGCGAAGTAACGCTCAACCTTGTAGATCCAGCCATGGCCATCTTCCCCCTCAAAGACGGGCATCTTCAGCTTCCTCAACCGTGGCCCGTGGGTCTCCCCCGTTTCCCTTGAATCCTCCATAGCCTCCCATTCCTCGAAGATGAGATGCTCCCCAACTATCATGATCTTCCCTCCGGTGATTATACTCGAACCCCTCTTCAAACTCTCCCCTTTTTCCTTCAAAATCATCACCTTGACGCTGAATTCCTTCAAATTTAGCACCTCGACAAGAAATTCCTCCCTTCTTCCTTCAAAATCAGCCCCTCGACGCTGAATTCTTTCAAATTCAGCACCTCGGCGATGACTTTCCTCCCTTTTTCCTTCAAAATTAGCCCCTCGACGCTGAATTCTTTCAAATTCAGCATCTCGGCAATGAAATTCCTCTCTTCCCCTTTCAAAATCAGCACCTTGTCGCTGGATTCTTTCAAATTCAGCACCCCGGCGAGGAAATTCTTCCCTTCTTCGGACAAAATCAGCCTCCCTTTTGTCGTATCCCCTACTCATCTCTTCTCTAGAAAGCGGTTCTAGATGGGGCATGTCGTTCTCCTCCTCCAGGATCTCCACCTCCGAATTCCTCCTCCCCCGCAACGGGTTCGGATTTCCTCCCATGCCATGGTCGTCGGTGGTCTCTCTTACTTCCGATGTAGCCGGATTGGTCTTCATTTCAAGTAATTTCTTCATCATTTCTTCCCTAACCGTGAACTTCCCTTCCAATCTTTCATTGTTGGAGGTGATTTGATTTTGAAAATAAAAAAATTCCCCTCCAATTCTGATTTTGACTGTCCCAATTCGCCTTCCAATACCTCAACCTTCTTTCCGGCCATCGTTCTTTCCCACGGATCTCACGTAATTCACTTACGGAAGCCAAAAGCTCACTGAAAATTCAGAATTTCAGCCGCCTAAGGTTCCAAATCGATGCTCTGATACCAATTTGATAGGAAATACTTAGAGTCCGCAAGTAACCCTAAGGTAATACTTGAGTTCGCAAGCAAACCTAAGCAAAACGGATGAGCAAACAGCAGAATTTCTGCTGTTTACAGGAGAAAACAACACAAAAACAGAGGAAAACAGATGAAAATCTGGGAGAAAACCAAACAATAACTTGTATTCCACTAGTAGAAGAATGAAAACAACAAAGATACAATTGTTCTTCAATCCGAGAGGAAGAACAACTCTCCAATCTCCGGCGATGCCAAGAGCCCAAAACAAAGAAAACCCTAGATCTCAAATTGTCATTCAAATTCAAGATGAAAACGTAACTCCCCCCTCCCTAAACTCCTAATTAAAGCAAAAAAGGATTAATTAAAAATCCCTAAACAGCCCCTGATTCAAAATTTCCCTCCTAAAGCTCATTACAATAAATGCTTGGTCCCACAAGGGCTGCCGCCCCCCTCTTTCTGCTCTGGTTTCAAGGGCTGCCGCCCCCTCTTCCTGCTCTGGTTTCCACACCCCCCCTGGCCCGCCTAGAATAGAAGAGGATCGGTCCAGCCGGCCCCTCTTGGGCCGCCGAGGGGCCGGCGGCATAACACTTTCCTAACTAGGTCATCGGGAAGCTATCGTTTTATATTACCAAACCATCTAAGGTGACTCTCTTTAATCTTATCTTTCACTGGAGCTATTCCAACCTTTTCACGTATATGCCCATTTCATATCATGTCTCTAAGAGTAAAGCCACTCATCCACCTGAGCATCCTCATCTCTGCAACATTTAACTTAATATTATGCTTCTCTTTTAATGACCAACATTCTGCACCATAAAGCATTGGTCTCACCATCATTTTATAGAATTTTCACTTAAGTTTGAGGTGGACTTTTCTATCACACAATAAGTCCGAAGCATTCCTCCACTTCAACCATCCAACTTAAATTTTACTAATGTACTCATTGTTTTGTGTTATAACTTGCCCATATGTTGCAAATGTATATAGATATTCTTCAAAAAATGTAAATGAGTGGAAGGGGAGAAAACATTTATCTTAGGCGTGACACTCTGAAAGAAAGTCATTGTTGAAATAGTTATAACATTCTATTCATTAAAATGTATTTGAGGTTGTAGTGACTCTTTCAGTGTATTAGAATAGTTAGTATTAAAAAAAATTTGGTGGATGAAATTTTAAACTTGTCCGACCGTCTATTTCACCTTTGCTAATTCGAGCTTTAAAGCCGGGTCGTGACAACTAGACATATGAGAAATCTTGAAAATGTAGAACATGGATATGGAGGGAGAGATATAACATATAAAACATACTCATAAGTATACATGTGAAACATTTCAAACAAAAACATCTATAACTATTGTTATGTGTTAGAATATTTGCAGTTGTAGACATGATTTATTGACTTAGCTTTAAACAAAAGTTTCACACAAAATTAGTCGAGTTAAATGCAACTTGCAAAAAAAAAACATTTTTGACATGGAAATAGGAAAAAGGCAAAAATCACGGGACCTAACACAACTAAAAATAATTTAATGAAACATTAATCATAAGGGGCATCTCATCCGATGGGGGTGGAGTAAGTTCAAAATTTTTGGAGTTGAACAAACAAATATTCCTTAATGGTGGCCATCAGATGAAGGCAATGTTGAACATGTGGCGACGGTAGGCATTGAAAATAGGCCATTAGGCAATAATGGGCATCAGGAATCAAATGTCACACGACTAAGGATAGTTAAAGCGATCGCTCTAAAAGGAGTAGAGACCAAAAGACTGAAGTAGTGATGAAGACTGAATGAACAAAAACTAGAGACAACTAGTTGATGCTTCCAAGCAGCAATTGAAACTCTAAAATTGTATCTTACCCAAGAATTCTCTCTATCAAGAATCCTATCTTAAATATGTAGAAATAATGCCTATTTATAGATTTTGGAAGAAATTTCATCCCATTATCCTATAATCTATCAAATCGGCACCTAAATCATATTGCCCAAATCCCTCCCTCCCTCAAGTTGGAAAGTGGCCATATGACCCCGCCCCTAGACCAGCCCAATAGGCCCACTTAGGCCAAGAACGATCAAGGATCAGCGTCGGTGGTCATCAACAAACAAAATATCTAATCCATGATTCAATAGAATGTTTAAGTGTACAGATGAATTCTAAGAAATTATTATGGCATATAAGTAATGCCTAAATTGCCAAAAACATAAAAATATTGCGTGAAGTAGAAAAATTAAATTAAATCAAATCATCAGCTAGATACATGCAGTAAGAACATTGATGAAATAAATAAGAAATATTACAATAAATAAGTTGCTAATACTTTTTGGGCCATTTTACTGGTTCATATCAAAATTAATAGAATAAGATGTGAAATTTTGAAAGAAAAACTACAGCAACATTTAATCTTATAGGCTTATAGCTTAGTAAATAATAGTTATTTAAAGGTTTTTAAATGGTCAAGATTTACTAATTCAATTTGATGGATGCAGAGTCTCTTATCAAACTTTATAGCTCGGTGTATCAATTTCCAAAACCAGAAGACATTGCTAAATTGGAATATCCTTATAAAATTTTCAAAGCTACAACATAACGTGTAAACATATTTCCTACTATTGGACCTACAAAGCAGATTTCAAAAGGCTACAGATTCGTCCAATAACCCTCATATTTATGTTGGTAATATAAATTGAAATAAAATTTATATAAGAAAAGCAAGCTTACACATCACTCCGAAGTGGCAGAACTGAAGGAATAAATAAGTCTTAAGAAGTCATTTCCCATCAATAAATAATAAGATGATAATGATGAAAACAACAGGACCATATAAAAAAGGAAAATCAATAGTCAAATGTCAAACCTGGGCTCCCTGTCACCGTAACCAAGTACCATAAGAGTGCCCCCATTGAAATAAACAGAATCTAGGGTAATTGGAAGGACTTTCTCAACACCCTTTGCATGAATTTGTTCTATCTCCTCACTTAGTTCAGCAGCAATGTCCGCAGCTTTTATAGAGAAGTATGACTTAAATTCTTGAGCTTGAACAATGAGCCAATCGAAAAGAGGTGGATTTTCAGGTAATCTGAATCTAAACAGGTTAAACGTTAGGTCTACAAGCCAGCCTGGAATGAGGTGGTGCAACAAATTAAATGATCCATGATGGAAGCCCCCATTGTCAAGGCATCTTGCATCTTCTGAACTATTCTTAGCATTTTCTAAGACAGGATCCAACAAATTGTCGAAATTAAACAACTGATTACGATTATTTTTGTTCAGTTGGAAATATCCACTATGTGGACCTAAAAAACTGGACTTCACCTTCTTCACGGTTTCATGAGAGCTTTTGCCAGCTCCAGTACCTGATATAAAATTCTCACTTGACAAAAGTTTGTCATTGACCAAAGCAAATGGCCGGGATATTGATTTATGGTCATCTAATTCCCTAAAACCTAAATTACCATGTTTGGGATCATCAATTTTGACATTTTCATCTCTGTGGAGGATAATATTGGTTGGTTTCTCAAGCCTTCCCATACCCATTGAAGATGCAGAAACATTATAAGGAGGCGATATTTCCTCATTATTTGTAGATAAATACCTGGAATGATCTTCAGAGCTATGTTTATCAAGCACACTTAATTGAATAGCCTTGGCACTATTATCTTTACAACCTTCATAAGAAGAATCCACTCTTTGATTGGTACACGGCTCATCAGTCTTCCCGTTCGATGGACCATGGAAATATGCACGAGCAGCAGCTGCACTTCTCTGGAGGTTTCTTTTCTTGGCAGCTATGCCAGATGCTGGTGACACTCCCGTTCTAAAAATTCCTTTCAACCTATGCCTCATAAACTCGGGCATAATTTTCGACCAGAAGATTTGTCCATGACCAGATCGCGCACCAAAGGATTTCTCCATATCAGCATGCTTCAAACCATACTCAGCCCAAATGGATCGGCTATGATTATCCTTGCAAAACATATTTTCATCCATGCAGTTAAATGAACTGAATTGGGGAGGAAAACCAGAATGTAAAGAATCGTCCTTTGACTCATCATTCATCAAGTAATCTGACCTTCCTTGAGGAACTATGTAACCCTGCTCAGCAGCCTCCCTTGCTGCTTTGACCCGTTCTTTGCTCCAACGAGCAACTGATTCTTCTCTTGCAAGTCTTCTAGTTTTAGTGCGATAGTCTATCCCTTCTTCCAATGAACGATGCCTACGCAAACCACTAAAAGATGATGAAGGAATACCCAACCAGGAGAAATCCTCCTTCTGTGACACTAGAATATTAGGCTGTGATAGAAAAGCATTTAACACAATCTTTCCCCTCCTCAAGCTTGCAAATGGACGGACACGAATTTTCATGGTAGATACCTCACCACAAGAAAATTCTTCCTGATGGGGCCCAATAGAGCATGCCTCGAGAGTGAAGCCTAAAGGTGAAACACTCTGAACTTTGCCAAAATCAATTTCTCTTTGGATGTACTCACTTAGAATGGAGCAAACAGAAGGAAGAAGCTGGGACTCAACAAACCTCTTAGCCCTTTTCTGAGCATACCATAAGAAAATTCCAACGGCAAACATCACAGCAACAAACATGGAGAACCTTACAAGTAACAAAGCATCCTTAAACAAAGGCACAAAAGGTTTAACTAGAACAGAGTTCCTTGGGAACTGCTCCTTAGTGCAGCTAACTCTGAAATGACTTCTGTTACAAGTATTTCTTAAAGGAAAATCAACACTTTTACCATTCACAAGTGAAAGACTAGGATATTTGCAACACTGTTTATGCTGACCTAAAAATAGGAATATAAAGGGAGCCTGTACATTTTTATTTCTTCTCAAGAAGGTAGGTTTTCCAGAGTTTCTTCTGGTTATTGAAACACTAGGTGCTCCAAGCAATGAACTGCATAGATGGTCGGTGCTCATTTTCAACGTTAAGACCATCATACGGTAGTCATATAAAAGGTACGAACAACACAAACTCTTGGTCTCCATATGCATAAACAAATTCCATGATGCTGGGAAAGAGATGACAAGAAAATTAAGTTTTCGAAATCTAGAAAAATAGAAAATAAGCAACTTTGTACAAAATTTTAACCAAAGCACAAGTTTGATCTCAATAGTTTCAATAAGGTCCATTAAGACAAGCAAAGAGATATTTTAATTATGCTGAGTTGCCTTTAGTTCTCATACAGTTCTCATAATGCATTACATTTGATTGCCAAAACAAAAGTTTTATCTGTGATAGTTTCGATACAGCTCTCAGTATTACTCATTAACTTAGCCAACTGAAAAAACATCATCATCTTATCATCCACTTTTTTAGCCTTATCCCAACTATTTGGGGTCGGCTTTAGAGTCCTCATTCTCCGTCCTAGCAAAGTGTTTCATGAGGTGATAACTATTCCAAGCAAGCACAACTTCTATCCATGTAACCTGTGGTCTACTACTCTCCACTTCTAATCCATTGGCATCAATCATTTATCTAACTTATGGGGCATTTTCAACTACTTATTATGTACATCTAAATCACCTAAGTCTATTATACGCTGACTTATTTTCAATAAAGGCTACCTCCACCATCCCTCTAATATAATCATTTCTCAATTTTTCCTAGTGTTGGCATACATTCATCTTAAAACTATCATTAATGTTACAATCAACTTGATCCTGAGTAACTTTTTATTGGCCAATGCTCAATTCATACAACTATACGGCCTAATTACAGTTTTATAAAATATACCTGTTAAAATGATATTCTCTTAGCATTATACTCTAGAGATATTTCTTTATTTTAACCAGCCATAAATAAATTTAAAAGGTACATCCTAATCTACATGTTTATATGCAATATAATAAATCTAAGACACTTAAATTAACATACCTATATATTATTTTATCTTTTAGTAGTATTCACTAATTATTAATATAATTCCAATTAAAATTCCATATCATATACTTAATTTTTGTTCTGCTGCTTTTAAGTCATTTATCTTCTAAATATTTTCTCCATTACTCTACATTTCACTTATTTCAATAGTTATCTTACTAATGAAAACTATATCATCCACATGAATTATAAACCAATGCACATCAGTTTGAATATTATTTATAAGCATCTTCCTAATACAAAAATAAACAAACTTTAAAATGCCTTGATGTAATGCTATTATAATTAAAAACTCTTTAGGCACCACACAACTGTCTCTAATAGTAGTACAAACTCTATCAAACATATTTTAAATAACTTCATTATACCTTTGGCACAGATAGATTTCACTTAATACACTGATATGCTAGGGGGCCCACAGCCTGGAAGGGGGAGCTGTTTAGGAATGTTCATAATCAAGAGGGAGTTGTTTAAGAAAGCTCTTAATTAAGGAAAATTATTTAGGAATGTTCCTAGTCACGGGAGAAGTTGTTTAGGAATGTTTCCTAATTGTGTTTATACTATTTATGATGTGTTTTATTATTTAGAAATGTTTCTTAAAATATATTTAATTGTTTAGAAATGTTTCCTAAATCATGTTTAATTGTTTAGGAAGATTTCTTAAATTATGCTTATGTTGATTAGGAAGATTTAATTTATTTATAAAGGTTTCTTAAATTATGGTTATACTGATTAGGAAAGTTCTAATTATGTTATGGTGTTCTAGGTCAATTTAAGGGGGAGCTTGCCTATGGTTTAGAAAAGAGATTGCTGAGTTATTTTCCTAGTGTTTTTCTTCCCTCTAATATTTGATGTGACTTGTGAGTTCCTAGCAACATCTAGGATTTGTAAAAGAGCAGATCTACCTCTCGAATAGTAGATCAATTGTATCTTGCTTTATTATTGAAGGAGAAATAAGCAAATCAGCCATATCTTTGTGTTCCTACGTTGTTCTTCTATTTTACTTGTTTTTGCTTCCAAGACATATCATACACATCAAATCAATTCTTGTGATACTCAGTCATAAGCATTCTCAAAGTCTATAAAAGCATATGGAGATTCCTCCTATGCTCTAATCTTTTTCATACATGGTGAACCATCCAGATATGAAACTAAATTGCTTCTATGATACTGATGTAATTTTTCTAACACTTTTGCACCTAGAAGCATTGTCTGACTCATACTGATTCCGCTATAATAATACAATTTTGATCATCTCTTTGAATATCAAATAGTGGTACCAAAATGTTCCTTCTCCAATCAGTTAGGGTATCCTTTAAAAGATTCCATTAAAAAAATTTGTTAATCCAACCACTAGAATATGACTCGTGACTCTCAAAATCTCAATAGGCATACATGTAAAGATTTATTTCTATGCATCTTCATCAAAGTTAACTTCATTTCTCTTTTTAAGATCAATATATAATCGATCACATTATTTTGTTCATTAAGCTGTTTCAAGATGATTTCTTCCTTAAGGTTTCATTTCATAAGTTCTAAATCTCCTTCCCCTACTTTAATAGCTAGCATATTATATTGCTTATTAAAAATTGTTGCTTTTGTCTTGGTAACAACCCCCTTTACGAGACTTACAGCTTACTTATAATCTCTAAGGATAAGCCTCAATAGTATTCATACTTTACCACTTTTAAAAGTGCATTTTATCTGTAAGCTTTTGTGCCTTCTCACTCCATCAAATAGTCATTGTATTCAACATCAGATTTCACTCAAATATTAAATTTCAATTCACCTCTCTAAGAAACATATCTTGAAAAATTAACAAGTTCCACCATCTAATCATTAAAGTATTGTTATTTTGATTATATTTTTTATGTTCCTAAGTTATGCATCCTTAGCTACGACCTGATAATTTATAAACAAGCTTTCTAATGGAATCACCTTATAATATTAAGAAAAAACTACTTCTAAGTTAAAAAGAAATCTATTTGTGAATTTACGGCTATACTATTAAAAGTATTTAAGTGTTCTTGTTTCATAGAGTAAGTATTCGCTATTTTAACATCACATTCTACTGAAAAATCAAGTAAAACTTTTCTTATCATGCTTCTGTCACGTATTACATATTCAATGTCCTCACATAGCCCATTCTATTACAACTATGTTATTGTGGAATTAAACTCATGTTGATGTTAATGATAAAAAATAATTTGTAGTTGGACTAATAGTTATATCAAGAGCAGAATAATGTCCGTTCATGCCTTAAAAGGTTTCACTTTTTTTTTTGAAATAGTATTATTCTCATTGACTCCTAAGCTGATTACTTAAGTTTACCGTTGCATGCTTAAGTGTTTAGGCTCAAGTACTTCAGTTTTCATTTGAAACTAACAAATTCTATTGAGCATGTAAAAATAGCTTTAGCCTTAAATTAACAAGAGATGAATAATTAGTGACAATTTCATGCTAATTCAAAAACAAGGAGAAAGGATTTTCACAGTTGCAACCTCAATACTGTTACAAAACAAGCATGGTAATTGTAATGGTTAAATGCTTAAGGGCGTTTCATTCTCTTATATTTTTGGACATTTCATGTAAGCACATTAGGTTTTTCAAGCTAAGAGCTTTTTTTTTTAAATAAATTGAGTTAAAGAACACTTTAAAGCTTCATACGTAGATCTCATGCGATATGAACTTGAAATGTATCGGTTAGTCTTAAACTGTTGTTGACCTGTACACGGTAGCAAAAAAAAAATATTTTAGTTACCTGTCTGGCTACGTTCGATGCCATACCCTCGCACATCGAAGACATGGCTCCCCACGATCCTCTCGCGTCTTAAAAGGCCAAAAGGGGGAAGGTCTTCGTGCTTTTCTTTCCGCTCTTCCCCTTCGCACGCTCCTTCGGCTCTTCCGTTTCCGTTCGACTTCGCTCTTCCGTCGACGTTCCCTTTCTATAGGATCGGAAGTTACGACTTTGATCGGAGGCAACAATAGGAGCTCGATCGCTGTGAAGTTAACTTTCTCCCATTCGCGTGCTTCTTCGGCCCCTCCGTTGTTGTTCGACTTTGCTACTTCGACGACGCTCCCTTTGCCCCCTCCCTGACGATCGAAAGTTACGACATTTTGATCGGAAGCAATACGGGAGCCCGCTTGCAGTGAAGGCAACTTTATCTCCGTCGCGTACTCCTTCGGCACCCCCGCTGTTCTTCGACTTCACTTACTCGACGACGTTCCCTTCTTGTCAGATAGAAAGCAAAGCGGGAGAGGGAGAGAGGGAGAGAGGGAGAGAGGGAGAGAGGGATTAATGGTTTAATGGATTTTAATTAAAGTTAATTTTAATTAATTATAATTAATATTAATTATAGTTATTATAATTAATTATAATTAGTTTAATAAAATAATTTAATTAAATGATTATAATTAATTTAAATTAAAGTTAATTTAGTTAATTATAATTAACTTTTTTAATTATTATTAATTAGTTATAATTAATTTAAGTTAATTAATTATAATTAAACTTAATTATAATTAATTGTGTTAATTAATGATAATACTTATAATTAATTGTAACTAAATATAGTTAATTAAGCATAATTATAATTAGTAATAATTAATTATATTAATTAGAATTATAAAAAAAAGCTCTTCTCTCCCCTTGATCTACGTGCCAACACCCTCGTCGGTCGTCAAAGTATAATCTCTTTACCTTAGAACTCCGAGAGCCCACCTCGAAGCTTACAATGCGACAAAACGACCACCTATACACGCTTTTGTTAGCATTGTGGGAGGAAGTGCGTCGCGGTGCTCTCAACGAGACGGGTAATCACCTAAGCCCATTTAGGCATTTGCACTGTACCGGAACATCGTCTACACACGCCTTTATTGCACGTGGTGGAATGGAAACCGGGTGCAACGCCTACGGCGAGGCATGTTACTTATAAGTACCCTTAAGCGAGGGGAAAGCTAACACTATATTTTAAAACATGTACCCTCGAAGATCTCATACACGCTTTTATTAACGTGGTGGGAATGAAGACACGGCCGCGGTGTCTATGGACACCTACCATACACGCCTTTATTGCACGTGGTGTGAAGGCCCAATTTCTCGTAAGTTTCCCCTAAACAGAGGGATGCCGGGAGGCTGCCGAAATCTGCACTAACGACGGACTATACTTGGCTTGAATTGAACCCAAAAAAAAAACCTACAGGGGACTTGAACCTACTTTGAACAACATTTGGACAACATGAAATTCATATCAAACCCAAATAAACTTGAATTTGAAATGAATCTTGAACCAAAATTCGAGTAAATTGATAAAAGACTTGAACACAAATGAGCCTGAACTCAAGTTGGACTTGATTTGAGCATTAAGCCAACATGATTTGAACATTTGAACTCAAGCAAAGACTTGAGTTGGACCACAGAGGACTTGAACAAGACTTTGGACACAAAGAACTTAGACTTAAAATGAACCTATGGATTGAACTAAACTATAATTTGAACATCATATATGAATGGCATGAAGCATAACTTAAATGTCTACGATAAAACTTGTAATGTGGCAAAGTGATAACGCTAACCATGTCAGCAAAGATCAGTGACAAATGCAATAATATCTATATGTCCAATGTCATCATATAAGCAAGCAAGTGGAAGGTAAAATCTCAATACATGCAAAAGAAGATTGAGTAAACCCAAATGACTTAGAATATTCAACCAAGTTAACTTGTAAATGAGAGCAAGTAACACTTGTGTTGACCATGCAATCAAAATGTTACCCCTTTCAACATAAAACGAATAGGAGTTCGATTTGATACGCAAAGCAATGAAAAATACATGAATTGTTGACTACAGAACTACAATATTCGAGTGAATAAGTAGCAAATCTCCAGATGTTATAATTATCATTATTGATTAATGAGAACATGCGTTCTAATTATAAATAAATGCACAACGATGTTCCAATAGATACTTTAAATCATATATAAGTATTGGCAACCGAGGAGTCACATTTATGCCAATCTTGCAAGCAAGATGTCAAACAATAGTGCACAACGAATATGGTAATTGATGTGTTCAATGAGTTTGAAAGCTTACGACGAGTGTCATGATACTCATGTCGCCTTCAATACTGTGGTAGCAAGTAAATGCACATATCCCCTTACAACAGAGGGATTTGACATGCAACAAATACAACAACATTCGCACAATCGACGCCAACCTGCATCTGAATGAATATACTTATCTACCAAAGAATCAACATGTTCTAGATGATGTGTAGCCCTCCTATAATCAATGCCAATCCCCCGTGAATATACGATCAATATGCAACGAAGGTGATACATACAACAACACTTTCAACATGAAAGCAGTATTAAGAGCATAATAACTTGTTGAACGATGTGTATAGAAATTATGGATGAAGATAATGTAGCCAGAAATTAACATCAAATTGTTAATGTGCATACTAATTTATGTACGACCAATGTGGATTCCTACAAGCCACCATAAGAGGCTCGTCATGTTTAAAGGCATTTGCTTATGAGTAACAACAACTAGCCAAAGTGAATATAGCGATACCTTACAGTTCATATGCAAGCAAGAACTATAAAACTACTAAAAAAATTAGTACCTACAAGCAAATGCAAAAGAATTACAATAGATGTCATGCGAAGAACACTACAACACCCCTACAACCAACATCAATCAAACAACATAGCTTCTTGCAAATTTGCATAGTGGAGTTCACAATGAATGTAATGATGCTCCTACAATCAACAACCATCCAGGGGCAAATATAGAAAAAAACTGCAGGAAATACAAACCCCTATGAGCTACCGTAGGAGATTCATTATACATCCAATGCATTGCCTATAAGCATATGCAAGAAGAACCATTGTAGATACAAACACCCATTGGCGGTGCGGTGACGGGAGGTTCGACAAAACCACAACAAGCCTACGAGCCATTGAAGGAGACCCATTATACATTCAACTTGCTATCTGTGAGCAAATATGGAAAGATCTGCAATACATACAATCTCTCTAGAAATACATATGTATGTATAACATGGCACCTATGGGTAGATCCAGAAAGACTTCAGTAAATATAGTATCCTGTAGTCAATTTCAATCAAAGAATGAATACATCTACCTGCAGCAATAGTGGATGTGTTGTAAAAAAAAACTAAACCACAACGAAATACATAAAGAATGCAGTGAATGCAAGTTCCTACGAGCTTCTGCAATAGCGGGAGATTTGTTAGCGCACTACAATCCACGTGCATAAAGTAATAAGCATTGCACGACAATCTACCTGTATCAGGCAATAAATAGCTCAATTCACAAGCAGCTACGCCACGTCACCGGATCCGCAACATCCTTAGAAGCAGAGTGTGAAGGCATGTACAAACTTCCAAGTATAACGTTGCATTCAAATGATGGTTGCTTGCTCAACTAATAAATGTTAAATATCTCAAAATGTCCTCGCACATAAACCGTAGTTTATATACACATAGGTACACAAAAAGGGTGAGTGCAATCCCAAACACCTGCATGGACCCCCACGAGCTTGTTTTGGATACACACGTGACATCTAGGGATGATGCGCGGGTCAATAAATGAATGTAGTTCAAGCCCAATCCTTCTATATGAATAGATAGGAGCCGACACAGCTTGAATTATCAAACAAATATACAGTCAGTGTGTCAGCCGGAATATCTATTTTATACGTTCATATAAGGCCTTCAAGGTAGAGGCAGACCTAAAAAGACTGGTTAGAAAATATTATGAACGATCTTTCTTTATAATATTTAAACTAGAATTTGATTTTTAAAAGGATACAATAGAGAAAAAAGATTCATGTAGCCGACCCACGTAGTGGGATAAAGGCTTGATGTTGTTGTTGTTTTATAAAAGGCATTCAAGGCCTCCAGTAAAAAAAATTCATTAACAAAGGTATAAAGCCGACGAAACCAAATCTCCTATCGGTAAGTTAATATGGTCGACAAGGTTAAGTCAATGAATGATCACATATACCCCGATGATGATCATGTTGAATGCAAATCTCAACCGGAATGGTTAACTCCAAAATTCAAAATGCCACTCAAATATCTAAAAAATCAAAAAAAAAATTGAAATCATCAAGTCTAGAATATTTAAAATTAAAATTCAAACACTTAAAGCAAAGTCCATCCACCCTCCGCAACAGTTTGCCTATGTAGACAAATTAAAATTTACTTCAGCTCACATAAAATCAATGCCTAATCGAAAATATCATTATGATCTATTATCAAATAATCTCCTACTAATAAGAAAGTGGTACATGTCCTCTGACCGTTGATTTTGCCGCCAAATGATACTGCGGGATAAACGATTATGACTCGAGCCCCTCTGAACCGAGTGGTTTTGCCGCCAAATGGCACCACGAGATACCAATTATGATCAGATCCAGTACGTTCTTTAGTGGCATCAAATCCTTGAGACATAAATCAATAGGATATAATCAATAGGGCACAAAGCCCTTTGTTAGCTAAGATGGAGTCAAATTTGTCCCCTTAGGTAAGCATCCACCCATGTCTATAAAATCCTCTTGGACGAAGCAACCCATGGCTGCCGACAAGGATCCTTCTATTAGGTTGGGTCGACTACCTCCTCTGACTAAGTAAACCAGGGATCACGATGGCCCGGGACGACGAAACTATGGGATCGTGATTGGGTCCATCATTCATTCCCCCACCATCCGCTTTAAGTGCAAGATGGTGCCATTTCTGATTTTAAATATCAAACCTTGAATTTCCAATTACCAAACACATGATGCTACTATACAACTGATACTATGTATCCATGGATACAACGTATCTGATTGACGACTAGCCTTAATCAAAAGTTCTCTCTCGTTATCGGGAAGGGCAATTAACTATAGGGGCTTGTGTCTACAGCAAACCAGAACTTAGATCATAAAGTTCTCACAAAATGAGGGCGAAATATCCGGGTAGTGTCTTATCTACAAACTCATCTGCCTTCCAAAATTTACCCCGGAACTTTATTCCGTTAAAACTCCCCCCGAAAAAAGAAAAGCAAAGCGGGGGAGGCTGGGGCCGAATTTTCGGAGCCCACAATTGTACTTTACTTCAAAGCTCATGCCACATATTCACAAATCCTTCTAACAAAACTACCACCCCTTTTATCTCTCAATTATTCCTTGTGGACAGAATATGAATTCGGATTCTTTATTATTCCCACCCTTTTCAGCCATCTCTAATGGCTGCTTATTGC